AGACGGCAGGGTAAGGACTCCCGGCAGCTAATTTCACTAAAGTTATCACCATCCATCCTCCGTTTAGTGTCACTGTGTCTCCCTACAACAGTGTAAACACCTCGTGAACCATGTCACAATTAAAAGATGGCCAATATTGATCCGAGTTTGATGATAGATTATAAAATAAAAGCCTCTCAGTGTCGGGTCTCTCTCTCTCTCTCCTCTCTCGCTGTATCCGTCGCTATCCGCATGTCGGCTACGGATACCGAGTGTGGCTGATTCTCGGTGCTAGCGAGTAGTGTTCTGCGTTAAATATACAGTTCGTGTGTTTTCTGCTTTGTCTGTAGCTCGTTTTTAAAGGATTAACTCACTAAACTCGCTCCGGTCTGTTTGTTATATGATGCTAACTCCGTAGCCTCGTTTTTTTTGCTGTTAGCTTAGCATATAGCTTTGAAGACCTGCCTGCTCGCTGCTGTTGTAACGCTGTAAAAGTGGGTTTTATAAGTGATTGTAGTGTTAATCGCACGATGTGACACTTCAGGGGAGGTTGTGTGCAGACATTGAAATGTTAAACACTTAAACTTGAGTTGATACTGAACCTTAAGACACTAGCATTAAGTTGCTATCTTGCTTTTCTTTCCTGGACTGGTAGCATTCAGGTTGTAAGCACTTGAGAGTTGAGTTTGTGAAGCATCCTGTGGCTTTAATCTATCTAATAATAATATGTATTTATTCATGGCAACTGCTTAATAACCGGTTTGTCTTTGTGTGCGAATAGCATCATGAAGCTGAATCCATTTGTAACATCCTCCCGCCGCAAGAACCGCAAGAGGCACTTCAATGCCCCCTCACACATCAGGAGGAAGATCATGTCTTCCCCCCTCTCCAAGGAGCTCCGCCAGAAGTACAACGTGAGGTCCATGCCCATCCGCAAAGATGACGAAGTCCAGGTATCGTAATTTTGGATTGCTGGAAGTTTGTCGTGAGTTTGATTGATTGATTTTTTTAAGCTGCATTTTGTTGACTTGTTTGTTCTGTTTACTGACAGGTTGTCCGTGGACACTACAAAGGCCAGCAGATTGGCAAAGTGGTCCAGGTCTACAGGAAAAAGTACGTCATCTACATCGAGCGTGTGCAGAGAGAGAAGGCCAACGGAACCACAGTCCATGTCGGTATCCACCCCAGCAAGGTGAGACCCGGTTGTGTAGATCCACAAATTGGTTTTCCTGTCAGGAAAACAAGGAAGTGTCGAGGTGAAAGTGATGTTTAACACTGTAGGTTACACTGGGGAGGCTGGTGGATGCACACCTATGTTAAGAAGCTTTATGTGTACCTGTCAAGACTCACACTTGTGTTTTTTGTGATTTTTTGACACCTGAAAATAAAGCTGTCAAACAAATAACATGTAACGTACAATTTTAGGTGATAAACAACATTTCCCTGCAGAGAACTATACCTGCTTTATTCTAGTTTGCTCCTCAAGTATCAGAGAAATTGTCCTCATCATAGTTCATAAGATTGTATGGCTTGCAAGCACTCTGCAGTGGATGTGTTGTGTTCAACGATACATTCAAAGTATCATCTTTGAGCTTTAGTTAGTGGTTTTAATGCATTGCAGGGCATTATCAGGGTTCCCAATGCGTCCTGGAAAACCTGGATATTTAGAGACTTGCTTTCCAGTCATTGAGAAAGACCTTGAAATTGATTTAATAAAAAAAGACTAAATATCCTGGAAATAATCTATGCTGTCCTGGACATTTTTAACTTTATTCTAGCCCCTCACTCACATCGACCATGTAGACCTATGTTTGTATTCAAATAATTGGAAACAGAGCGAGGTCAGGAAGTGTCCAGTACATGCTGACCACCTACAGCACTAAATAATGAGAAATAAAACAGGTTAAAATGTGTAAACTCAGACTGTTGGTACATTATATGAGCTGAAAAGATCCTGGAAAATTATTTCTCAGAGTGGGATCCCTGATTATATTGAAGTTTTTCTGATGCTTTGTGTTTGGCCACATTATGATTTCAGTTAATTGTGCAGCTCGAGTGTCTTTGCGGCTTTTTAAGTTGTCTCAAACAGTAACATGGTGTACAGCTCTTACATTTGTAAGTCTGTTCTTGGTTATTTCTTTATTTGCCTCTATTAAGACCATCAAATAATCCAGTTTTGAGTCCTCTTGTTCACCACCCTGTATTGTTAGCAGGCTTAACTGGTAATTGTTTCAGTAAATGTGCACTTAAGATTTTAAAGGCAATAAGAAATAAGGAGGCGCTACTTGGATCTAACAGAAATGTGACACAAATTAAGGCAGTGTAAAACTTTGTTTGATTTAAAAGATACAATAAAAAAGCAGGTTTATTTTGCTAAAGTCTTTTTGGATCTGCAATTAATGTTGAACTGAAGTGAGACCTGTTTGAAAATACAGTATCAAGTTAACAAGATGACATTTGAACATATAGACAGGAAGAAATGTGAAACACTAAAGTTTTAGTGTCTCTGAAAAGTTGTATGAAAGTAAGGAAACGTGAACTGCTCATGAATCTGTTAAAGATGGGTTTTTACGTAGTAACCAGAAAGGTAGAGACCTGTACATTGTGTTGCACTAGAACATCCTTGTAAGAAATACTGTTGTGTGCATTTCATTATAATTATAAGGTGTTTCTAAAGTTTTTGCTCATCTATATATGTAAATGAGGTAGAGATGTTAGTGTACTACATAATTTTATAACCGCCTCAAACCCATGAAAAGGTCACTTAAATGCACAGATAATACAAAACAGTTTTTAAATTAAAGAATTACTTTAAGGCTCACTGTCATGACTTACTGGGACTCTTTAACAGACCAGATCCTACATTGTTATTGGTAACACCTGTGTGTCTCCTTTTTTATGACAAGTCAAAATGTCCATTGTGAGAAACATCTGTTGGATGAACTATTGCAAAGTGACAATCTTAGAGGACCAAATCGGCCTTCCAGTTTTTCCCTCTTTTCCACCGAGCACCAGCTGTGTTCAGTTAAGTGCAACTGGCAGATTACATTTCAAGTAGTATGCAAGAGACAGTGGCACATATGTGACCTGCTCACAGGTAAACGTAAACGGGCCAAAACAAACTGCAGTTCTGATGCTTCTAGTGAAGCCTTTGGCTCAGCTAGAAGTCAGTTTTAACAGACTTACTGTGAGGAAAAAGGCACAGGTTGATCTAATGGTAATAATGAGGGTTTTTATTCCCTTTAACTGTTCCAGTAAGTCATATCATTCAGGCAAAACATGCACAGCACTGATCTGGAATTGGCACACCTAAATGCAACGGTGCCATTACTAACCACCAGCACTTTTCTGGTTGTGGCATTTTAATATCTATAGAGAAAAAGGGTGGCGTTTATTGGTGTTTTTAGACAGTTGGCAGCGATAAATGTAGTAATGCTGATCTAAACATACAGAACTCTGTAGTATTTCATAACAAATAACTGACTCAAAAGCCAACAGATAATCCTTTTAGACGTTGTAACTCCTCCCACTGTCTGAAGGTTGGGATGCCTGTTAGATATTTCTGATGGATTCTGCATTTTGTGTTTGTAGCAGCTCTACAGTTCTTCATTTACTTATACATCCAGCATCTATTAAAACTATTGCAGAATGTCAAGGCTGCTGATAACTTGTCTAATCATTAGAAATGTGGTTCTTTGTCTTTATTTGCATGATTGGTACTGCTGCCAGTGAATCATTGAATGACTTTCTTTCTTTTACAGGTGGTCATCACCAGGCTAAAGCTGGACAAGGACCGCAAGAAGATCCTGGAGCGCAAGGCCAAGTCTCGCGCCGATGGAAAGGAGAAGGGCAAATACAAGGAGGAGACCATTGAGAAGATGCAGGAGTGAAAATGATCTTTTGCTATCAATAAACTGTATAAATGGACTATACTTTGTCTGTCTCATGTTTTTAAGATGTGGAGGTGGAGCGCACGTTGTTAAATGTATTTGTAGGTTTTAAGAAATGTTGTATTTTAGTCTAACAAAGATTGTTGTACATCAGGTGTAGAAGAAAACTGGGTCATCTGTACAGACCCGACAAACACCTAACACTGTAGAGTGCACTCAATTTTAATCCAGTGCCTCGAAGTGTATATTGCAGCAGCCAAAATGTAGGAAACTGATGATTTATGAATTTGTTTCGGCAGACGTTTGCCTTCTGGAGAAACTAATTTTGGATACTGATAATTTGTGTTCTGTTTGATGTTTGCATGCAACAGTTTAAATACTAGTTGCTTTGATTCCTGTCCTTTTTTTTTAATCGTATAAAAGGACAAACACAGAGCTCATAAGATGACAGAAAGGCCCAGACACCCAGGAGCATGTAATATTTGCATATAAATGACAGAAGTCTGTCAGTACGTGTTGTACAAGGAAACTGAACATTGCCTGAATGAAACACTAATGGAAGTTTATGAAGTTGAGAGATTGAATTGCTTGTAATTTTTTAGAGATGGACACAAAAATGAACATCACCCAGTTAGTTTGTTTTAATTTAAACACTGTGCATTTTAAAGGGAAAAGAAAGCTCAATATCAATCAAATGAAATCATAGTAAAGGTGCAACATTTTGTAGTTTTACCAAATGAGCAATAGGTGTCACTTTTTCACCACAGTTCAAACACAAGGAAGTCTTGACATAAAATACGAAATTAAAAGCTTAAATGAAAGTGTCTCTAAGCAACATAACTCACCAAAGAGCCAAATCTGTCAAAAATCAACCATGTGACTGACCAGCTTGTGTTATTTATCCAAAAAAAAATGCTCATAAATGTCGATATTTTTACAAGATAACACACCAATTTCACCTTTTCAGCTGCAATAATATGTGAAGAAATACAGACATAAAAGGCCACACTGGTTATAGTTGCACCCATACTTCAACCATGATGTATGTTTTTACACATTAATGTTAAAGCACTTCAGTTCCTCCCTCTCTGGTTAGTGGTCATGTGATACTCTCTCTCTCTCTCTCTCTCTCTCTCTCTCTCTCTCTCTCTCTGTGGACAAGTTTACTGCAGTTTCTCGAGTCAAAAGTTTCTACTTCTGTTCATTTCTTTGGGTTTTAAACCAAACACCACCATGGCGGAACTAAGTTTCGTGATCTCCATGTCTGTGATGACCCTGTTTTGGGGTATTGTTGGAGGAGTAGTTCCCTGGTTTATCCCCAAAGGACCAAACAGAGGGTAAGTTTTTGTTAGCTTCACTTTAGCTTTCAGCTGGCTAGGAAGTGCTAGCTAAGTTTTATTCTTTATTTTTTATTGTATGTTGTATTCATTTGATACAGTTAGATGTACAGTGTATAGCTTAGTGGTGTTTTTAGATAAGTTTCTCAGCATTATTTGAAGTATTTCCTACATTTAAACCTTTTTATAAGCTAACGTTTCTCGCTAGTTATAAAAGTTAGGGTTAGCTATCTGAAGCTAACCTTCCGTATTCACTGTTTAATACTGAGCTTGTTGACATTTCACTACAGTAAATATATATATTGTCTGTTTCCTTTTATTAACAAACCAAACTCACGTGTAAAATATATATATATATACCCAAACTCTGGAAAATGTGCCTAACGCAACTTCCCTTATTTGTTGTCAGTCGCATCACGAGATCTTGTTACTGAATGGCCTAGGAAGTGTTTTAAATCCATGTCTGCAGCCATTTAATGTTACTGCTTTTAAATATATATATATATATATATATATATATATATATATATGTAAATATTTGTCCTGTTCCCACAGAGTTATAATCACAATGCTGGTGTTAACTGCAGTTTGCTGCTACCTGTTGTAAGTATTATCATCCTGGAAATGTACAGAGATGCTGTGCTTTTAAACTTTATACATATGTGCACTTAATGAAGGGTCAGTAAGGATCAGGTCTATAATATGAATGGAAATCATTAGTTGATTAATCCATTGGCAGAAAGTGATTAGGCATTTACTTTGGTAGATTATGAATTACTTAAGTCATTTAGTCAAGCAAAAAGTCCCTCAGACTTATCAAATGTGATGATTTGATGCTTTTCTTTGTCTTACGTCGTAGAAAACTGAACATATTTGGGTTTTGAACTCTTAGTCGGACAAAACGAGACATCTGGAGATGTCAAATTCATTAATAATGACAATTAGGGATGCACAAATACCACTTTTTTCAGACCGAATACAAGTATTTAGATTTGGTTACTTGCTGATACCAAGTACCGTTATGAGTCCTCAATAATACCATTACAGTTATAACACTGACTTTATAAACATGTTTTATTTTTCATCAGATGTTCTGACAGTAACAAATTGTAAGAAAGGTTGTTTAAAATATCTCCAAACTGCTGTTATTGCTTGTACTTTGCCTACCTGCTCAACTAACAAGAGATTACATCACACTGCCATAAAGTGGTATCGAGTATTTTTATGAATACAAGAGCAAATTCATTAGCACAGTATCATTATCAGTGCGTCCCTTTTGACAAAAACCTTAAATTACAGCCTGAATAATGTATATTATATATAGTGAAACAAATGTAATACCTCTTTTCCACAAGTAGACATTTATTTGTGAAGCTGAAACTGAGGAGATTGATCGATTTGTTCCATATTTACGTGCATTACTGTAATAATAAAAAGCTTTCCATTGGAGTTAGTACTCTGATGTTTATGTCTTATTTCTGTGGTATGATCAATTATTCATATTAGCAATTAGGTTTAAGTGTGCATATTGAGTCATATTACATGGCAGAGTGCAATAGAGACAAAGTAGTGTTGCAGCCAAGTGAACTTATTATCCAAACGCCCTCAGTTTGATGCTGTGTAGAATAATCCTTAAACTTCCTGAAGCTTTGTCAAGATAAATGTGTCCTAAAACTCAGAATGACCCTTTGTTACAGAAATTACCCACATTATTAAACTTGAGTAGTTTTATATTGACACACGTGAACTTAATATCCTTTCTGTCCATCAGCTGGTTGATAGCAATCCTGGCCCAGCTGAACCCACTGTTTGGGCCCACACTGTCCTCTGATACCATCTGGTACCTGAACTATCACTGGCCTTAATTTACCCTTCCGGGACTCCTGAGCATGCAAGTAAGTATTGAACCTACTTTTTAACCTACTTTTATGCAGCTTACAGATGTGTTACTTATATGTATTTCATTGCTTGGCCTGATTTTCTTTAAAACTGTGTTTTACTGTTAAATCCACTTGATTATTGTCTCATTCTTTGTAATTATCTATAACTTATGCAACACCACAATCAATTCAATTCAATTCAATTTTATTTGTATAGCGCCAATTCATAACAGAAGTTATCTCAGGACACTTTTCAAATAGAGCAGGTCTAGACCGAACTCTTTAAAACATTAATTACAGAGACCCAACAGTACCACCATGAGCAAGGACTTGGCGACAAGGGCAAGGAAAAACTGCCTGTTAAAAGGCAGAAACCTAGGACAGATCCTCCGGCTCTAGGTGGGTGGTCGTCTGTCTCGACCAGTTGGGGTGTGAGAGAGAGAGAGAGAGAGAGAGAGAGAGAGAGAGAGAGAGAGAGAGAGAGAGAAGAGAGAGAGAGAGAGAGAGAGAGAGAGAGAGAGAGAGAGAGAGAGAGAGAGAGAGAGAGAGACAGACAGACAGACAGACAGACAGACAGACAGACAGACAGACAGACAGACAGACAGACAGACAGACAGACAGACAGACAGACACCAACAGTATTACTTACTTAAGTAAACTTATTACTACTTATTTAATTTCTGTCAGCAAAACTGTGGAATATGTTTAGATTTAGATTTACTTTGTATATAGGCTCTTATTATCTTATATCTCTACTATCTGAACTATATGTATATACCTATACATTAATTTCTGTATTATATATTGTGTTTGATATTGTATATAAGTACTATTCTTTAACGTTGTCCCCCCCGGGGATCAATAAAGTATTTCTGATTGTGATTATTTCTCTAACCAGGAGAGAGGACCTGACACTGCTGCATACCAATGGATGTTTGTTGCTCACTGCCTCAGAGTGAGCAGAGATTATCTCCCCCCCCGAATCGCCTTAAACTCAGACCCCTGTGTGATTTATTGAGTGATGCCCACGCTGGTGCCTTGTACAAAAATAATTCCCAAAGGACCTCTGAGAGATCTCACTGAATGTGCTTTACTCCGATTGAAGCAACCGTCCCTTGTTGTGTTGTTTGGTTTATATATGATGTATATTGTGTTTATTGCTATAGTTAATATAAATGACCTTGTCTTAAATAGTTGATGTGTGTTTTGTTTGATGTGATTTCTCTTCGTCTGGTATTGTTAGTGATGGATGTAATTCATTTGATAGTTGTTAATTAATAAACTAATAATCCACTCCATTGGTCTGTAACTTTTTTCTAATTAATTTGTATTAACTAATTTATGAGCTCATGACCTTGATTGTAACCAGAGGTGGATCTAGAGGGGTGGCATAGGGTGGCAGCTACCACCCTAGTTTAGTGTGAAATGCTGATAAATTTAACATGTTAATTTAGATTAATTTGAAAAAGTAAGGTGTTAAAAAACAGAAATTAATTGAATCTATTACACAATAATAATCTGCCACATTTACGCTCAATGAAAACCGACGTGTATTTGGAAAAATGTATGGTATTTCAAAGATATTTCCATCTGATGTTTTACTAATGTGCCACAATAATGTTAAAATAACTTAATTTGAGGGCTTTTCCAATCAAATCTTGATATATGTGTTTGTGAGTAAAATAATTCAATCATCATTCTGTCAGGTGGGGTTAATATGTCCTGATGGGCTACCAAATGTGCAACAAATAAAGAAAAAACAAATAATGAAGTTACTTTACTTTATGATAATAAATTATGAATTGATAATTGATCATCTATGAATCATCATGTATAAGCCACCTATTAATATTGCTCTAGATCCGCCCCCATTGCAATGACTTAACTTTCCTTGTAGATAATGTCATTGTAAATATATTTTCTTATTCTGTGGTCATCAAGTAAATGTATGCATATATATTTCATAATAAATTTGAATTCATTACCAAATATGTAATTAATAGGCTTTTAATTAAGTGTATTAATCAATTTCAGTGCATTTTTGTCAAAATTTTGTTTTTGTCAGACTATATATTTCACTGTGTATTTATTTAATGACTTAATTACTTGTTATTTTATACCCAGTGTATGTTTTTTTTCCGAGTACGGTTTTATGGCCAAAGTCGAGAGTTCAAAACAGGCTTCCTGCTCTCCGTAGCTTCAGCCGGCTACGTTGGCAACATGGCGTCCTCAGATGTCCACGTCCGTATATGTGAACAAGAAATACTCAAGTATGACTTGGAAATCAAAGCTCTCATCCAGGTGCGAACATTTATTTGGTAAGACTACTTAGTGCCACGTTACGACACGCCGCTTTTTGAACTTGTCATTGAAGGGAACATCTAACTGATCCCGGTTCAGCTGCTGCAGGCAGCCGGTGAGCTGTCACTGGAGGTGGAGGCATGCATCGCTTTTAGGGTCGAAATGGGCTGAGAAATGTGCTCACCTGCGGGGATAATGTTATTATATGATATAATGAGGGAACCAGAACTGGAAGTAAAAAGAGCTTTAGAGCCGGACTCGGGTATCATCAAGTGGCTATAACAAGGTAGCTCATTCAGGTAGAGAGAAATCATTTAAACTGCCAAATTTAATCTATTAGCCGATTAAAGACGAATAATGAATAATAATTTTTAGAGTTTTTAATTTAATTTGAATAATTAATGATAATACATCAATAGCACTTCTCTTTTCTTTCTTTTTATACAATTTAACTTTCAATGCCTTTTGTATTTGAGGACAAGGAATTTAATGGCTCTCTTTGGACTGTAGGAAATTATGATTTGTCTCTATATTCTGACATTTTAATAGATGATAAAAACTATGAATGATTGATCAATTGGTGTTTCTTTATCTGTTGCACATTTGGTAGCCCATCACAGGAAGCAGGGGGCAGCTCAGACTGTCAGACCCGCCACCGTCCAGCAGAGTGCCTTTGCCTCACAAATGAGAGCAATATGTTGATACATATATCCATCTGACCCTTCTTGTGATGTCTCATCAGGATATTAATGAGTGCACAGGCCCTCAAAGCAAGCTGACGGAGCTGAACGCTGACGTGAAAAAGAGTTTCCACAATCTCAGATTGCGGATTCAGGTAAGAAACATTATTTGTGACTGAATATAAACATAAAACTATAAGCTTTTTGAATACTAGATCGCTCAGGAAACATTTGTTTTTGTTTCTTTGTCAGGATTTAGAGCAGATGGCAATGGAGCAGGACAAAGAGTCAGACAAGCAAGCCATGGTCGCTCAGGTAGACGGACACAGAAAACAGATGCTGAGGTAACGTCTAGATTGGAATAATCGGCCATCCCTGACTTTTATAACTGTGAACTGTTTATTTTGTCACATTTCTGTGTTGACAGTCCTGATTAACTGATCGGGGGAGAAGCAGAAGAAAAATGCCAGCTTAAACTTGCATAATGTCTACTTTATGAAAGTATATATCTGTTTTTATTTGTGTCTGTTTTCCCAGTAACCAAACAGTTTGGAGGAAAGCCAACCTGGCCAGCAAACTGTCCATAGACAATATGGAAAAGCAGGCACTTCTCAATGGAGAAGATAGTGCTATGAGGCAGAGGTGAGCGGTGTTATACTTTTGTTAGAGAGAGACTGTCTCATAAGTTAAGAGGTATTGAGCGACAGACAGGCATCAGCTGTATGTGAACAACATCATAAATCCTCTCAGTGTTGTAGTTAGAGAAATACATTGTTTCTATATCTCTATGGAATTTGTATCTTTTATCTTCTTCTCAGGAAGATGACCAAAGAGGGCCTCGCTCAGACGACCAGTGACATTACGGAGAATCTTATGAGCATCAGCCGGATGATGGCACAGCAAGTTCAACAGAGTGAGGAGACCATGACGTCTCTAGGTTAGTGAAGGAAACGCAACCTGATGTAAACACTGTATTCATTATCTTTTTTTGATGTACCATGGGCAGGTGCTTAAAATGTGATTTTCCATTTAGTTTAGTTGATTGTTTGATTCAGATTTACTGTGTGTATGTTCTGTGAATATTTTCCTTTGTTCAAAGAGCAATAAATGCACTTAACTTGCACTGAACGTCAGCTGCACTTCATCTTGGCTACCAGTGGTTTGATACTTTTAACATCAGATGCTGTTTGCTGTGACTGTTGTGACTAATGCCCTTTCGTATGTGTTGTTTTGGCCCTCTTCTGTAAAACTACCCCTTGAGGGACTATAAAGATCTGAACATACTGTAGGTTTGTGGCCACCGATTTTAGAAGAGGGACTATCCATTCCTATTAATTATGTGTGTATAACACCGCCCTGCTTTGTGTTGAAATCAGTTCCCTCTTCTGTTTGAAGCAACCTCCTCCAGGACAATCCAAGAGACCAACGATGAATTTAAGACCATGACGGGGACCATCCAGCTCGGGAGGAAACTCATCACCAAATACAACCGCCGAGAGCTCACTGATAAACTGCTCATCTTCCTGGCACTCGCCCTCTTCCTCGCCACAGTTCTCTACATCCTTAAGAAGAGGTTGTTCCCCTTCCTGTAGACCAGGTACCCGTTTTTGAGGGGCTCTCCCATGACCACATACAGTACCTTCCACGGTCAGCGCAAATGATTTAAACAACCCCGAATGCTGCGTGTCATATTACACACACACACACACATTACACAAGAGTTTCTGCTCAGCGGAATTTGGACCGCTCACTCTGCTGAACTGTGACGCTGCTGAGGGTGAAATATTGTGCACAAAGAGGAGGATAAACCTAATAGTTCCAGATATTGTTTAATTTATTGAAAAGATTCATTACAAAGAGAATAATTCATTCTTGTAGAAAAGAGGATGCACGTGTTGGTTGCACGTGTGTTAGTTAGTGTGACAGTAATGCTGTGCATTGCTTTTAATGATGACCAGTTTTGAGAAGAGATGGATGACCCAAACCCCCATTAATCTTTTCTTTTATACATTCCTGTGGAAGATATCCAGTTACAGTTTTCATATATATAAATATATATACATTCCCAGAGATACATAAGAATGCCTAAAGAAAATAGTGTATATGGTCAGATTAGTAAATTGTGATTATCACAAAACAAGTGCACTTCTCGTGTCAGTTCAACAAGCTTTTATTGGCATGGATGTCATCAAAACAATTTTGTAATAATATTAATTACTATTGTTAAATAGTAATATTAAATGCCACACATTTAAGGACACATATTTTGGGAACAATATTAGGACTTAAAAAACAAACGTGTCTGTGTAACATAAAGGTCAGCAACCTTTACTATCAAAAGAGACAATTTTCGCCCCCCCCAAAAAATCTGTCAGGTGCTGCAAAACATATTTGAGGTTTCTAATGATATTTTACAGATCTAGGATAGTGGTAATCCATAGCTAGACTCGATAGGGAGACGAGATTAGAAGATTAGGTGCCACCGCTATCGAGGTTCAGTAAAATACAGAGGAACGGGATCAGGTCAGGACGTATGAGGCACATTTTAGTTAACAAATTACAGTTGGAAAATCACATTGAAACACTTAAAAGTGTTAAAAAAACAACAGTTTAATTTCCATGTATTTTTTTGTTAAAGCCACAGGGAGGGACTAAAGAGCCACAGGTTGCTTATCCCTGGCGTAACAGAAAGGGGACTTCTTCATATATTTCTCGCTAACTGGTGTTTTAACCACGACCTGAAATCAGAAACTAACGTACAAGTGTTTTGTGTAATTGTTATTTATAGCATTGTACTGTATAACCACTGTAAGGTATAATTTATTATTACAGCATTATTATGACTTCATGCTTTGGCGGGATAGAATATTGAAATGGCTTTTTAACTTTTGACTTGATTGGAGCCCAACTGCAATCACTCAATCTGTGTTTCACTAGCTGGCTGATCAGAACAGTGCTTGTACGTGTATATGTGCACTTCAGATTGTCCCTATGTGTTATTCAGTTCACGTGCAAACCCAAAAAATAAATACATTTCAAAGAAAGAGTGTGCACACTTCCCTCCATCTCTGCCCGTGTGAGCTTGGCTCTGGTCTGCAGCGGAGCAGAAAAGCTCAGAAAAGCAGTGGCAGTGATCACACTGGCAGAGATAGAGCAGCATGCATCCCTGCCTTTCTTCAGATAAGACCCGGAAAAGCAGATTATTCCGACCCGTTTCCCCTCTCCCTTTCCAATGTGGGTGGATATTTTTAGGTTTGTGTGGCGCTGCTATCTGACGTTGCCTTTTCAACACCTCGGAGGAGAGGGTGGCCAGAGGGGCTACATGACCTTGCTACCCTTTCTGCAATTGCATGGCATTGCCATTTTGTTTCAATATTTGTAAATGTTTGTCAGTATTAATGATCAATAAATACAAAGTCTTCTGGCTCGATGTTTGACATATGTTTTCTCAAATGTTTGTTGGTGGGGGTGCATTGTTTTAAATTGAGATAGAAGACAACAGAGCATGTGTGGAGAGACCTGAGAGATGCCTAAGCATCTCTTACTCATGTAAAGTGGTGGCAGTTGGGCAGAGCCAGTTCCTAGCCTGTTCATATAACTGCACACTTAGACAAGGACTCTGGCTCTCTGTTAAGCAAATTGGACTATTCTTACATTTAGCACTGTGATAGTGTCAATCAAGTGTTTGGGTTTGTATCTGGACAAGTGGACCGGGGTCTCAAGGGAGCGTACGGCACCAAACCGGTGGCATAAACACAGGAACCAGACAGAGTCTCTCGCAACTCCACATTCATGTTGGAATTTATACGACTAAAGGAAGCGTTGTTCGGTTTTATACCTGACTTACATTATCTGTGCATTTTTACCATGAGTCTAGTTAAACTTTGTCAGCTCAAACACTGAAATAAAACACAGTAATTAAATGCCAAAATGTCCAAAAGGGAGTCTTTAATGATAAAGTATACTGTCCAAATATCTTGGCTCAGGTAACATCTTAAGTTTGTCCTCATATTTACAGAGAAAATGTTGTCGACTGCTAAAGAAAATGCTTGTACACACGATACAATTACTGAAAATCAAATGTTTGAAGTTCCATAGAATTTAAAAAACAGCATTTCCTGATTAAATCAACAGAACCTGATTTTAAAAAACCTTAAATACAAGTCAAGGTCATGACTCAGCCATCTCGGTCCCAGCAACGTTAAAAATATGTGTGTGGACATGTGGCTGACAGCGGTTGTAAAACGTGTAAACTTTTAGCAACCTTTTAACCTTGTTTAAGCGTATTGAAGGAAGCTTCCTAATGACCACTTGAACATTTTATGCAGACACAAACCATGTGAGGGTTGTACAGATGTTGGCGTTCTTTATGTAGATCTCCTGAATAACCAGTTCAATCATTATGTGATCCATAGGTATAGATTATATATTGTCATAATTAGAGTTCAGTGTTATGCATTTCATATTTTCCCCTAATATTATTATAGCTGGAGCCAAACCAGAGTTATTATATTAAAAAACTTAAAGCAATTTTAATTAAATAGTTGCCAGTCAGCAATATTAACAACTGCTACTACTACTTTAATAATAATAACAATAATAATAACAACAACAGTAATAATAATAATCATTTTCCATGGCTTAAATTGTTAAAATTAGGTCGTATGTATTGTTTTATAGTCTCCTATTGAAAATACTTACTTTTTTTTATAGGTAAAGATATTTAATAATCAATTTCGTGTCCAAAAAAAATTAAATAAAATAGAATAAAAATATAAAATGCTCGGTCAAATTTAAAACTTTTTAAACATTTAAAGAACTGTGGTTTCAACTTGTTATTTTTTTTTTCTTTTCATTTTCTCTCAAATTACATGTCTGTGCGCTAATATCACATAAAATAAATAAAAATGTTTGCTATTCAGACAAAATTCAAAAAAACTGGTGCGGAAAACAAAAACGAAAAACTACCAAAAGTAAGTTATTAAATATAAGAGACGTTACACAAACTCCGCAAAGTCTTGACACATTTAAAAATGCATGCAGTCAGAAAACAATCCCGTTAAACTGAATAGGTAACACGAGTATTTCTTTATATAGGCTATTTGGTTCACCATGTCCTAATGCCATGTAAGGAAGACACCCCATTACTGGAGGAAAACGTGTTCTGGACATTATTCAGGTCCCCTACCCCAAAGTTCATGTAATTCCCGTTGTTGGAGGATCCTTGCATAGTTTGCATTGTGGCTGCAGGGTAATTACACGCATAGTTTGTGTTGCAGCCGGGACTCGTGTAGTTACTGAAAGCTGGATAGTTGTTATAAGTGAAATGGTTGATGTGACCCATACTGTAGGAGGGGTTGTAGGTGGCTGTGTCTGCCGCCAGGCAAGGCTTCCCATCCCGCACCAGCACCGGCACCGACACCCTCCTGGGCGGCGGCAGAGACACCATCTCCAGGCTCTGGTCCTGCCTCTGCCGCTTGCACTTGTACCTCCTGTTCTGGAACCAGATCTTCACCTGGGTCGGGGTGAGTTTGAGCACGCCGGCCAGGTGGTCTCTCTCCGGGGCGGACAGGTACCTCTGCTGCTTGAAGCGGCGCTCCAGCTCGTACACCTGCGCCTGGGAGAAGAGGACCCGCGGCTTCCTGCGTCTCCGGGGCTTTGGTCGGTCCAGGTCTTCGGGTTTTATTTCCTCCACAGGCTCGGCCGGAGGACTGAACTCCTCTGATTACACCAGACAGAAAGAAAAGGATTAAATATCTACATAGGCCTGTATATATGCAAATGTATTCTTAACAGAAGGCAAGGTTAATCATTAGAGGTATTTTACTACTGACAACATTAATAATATAAATACTAATAATAGATATATAGATTTTATGTTGTATTATATTCCGTAATATAGTTAATTTGCTTGTGCAGTTCTCCCAATGTTCAATTCAATTCCCCTGGCCACCCATGATGCATTCATTCCCCTAAATTTCATAAATCTTAAAAAAAATAGTCTTGCAGGCCTGCAAGAAAATGCAGACCATCAACTTAAAACTTTGTTTAATTTTCTAAATCCCGTATAAATGTGTTTTATCTGTATTAATGCTTATTAATTCTTGTTTATTTTGGAGCATATGTTGTGTTTTTGCACAACTCAACCAACAAGAGCCTGCGGGCCTAACTTCGCGCAGGCCTACAAAGCAACATCTCGTCCTCTCACCAACTCACCTTTTCTACGTTTCCCCTCAAACGCGTCTGATTTCCCATCCTTCTCTAAATCCATCTCCATGAGTGATTTCCCATAAAAGGTAGCGGCAAAGTTGAGCGCATTGCCTCTGCCGGCTCTGGGCTCGTGGAGGTCTTCTCCAAACAGCGAGGCGGCGGACGACATGTCCCGGAGAGGCTCCTGCTTCAGGCGGGCCAGCATGCAGGATGAGGAAGAGGAGGAAGAGGTCGGCACGGTGCAGCAGTCCATACGAGAAGAGACGTCCAGGGAAGACACCATAACGTCATGACTCTGCTCCAAGTTTAATATATCCTTTACAGAGAAGGGAGTGGACGTGCTGGGGCTGGGAAACATTGCCAAGAACTCCAAAAGTAAACTTATTAACCTGTCATATGGAGGCAAGAAAAAAGACGTCAACAAACTCTCTCTCCTTCCTGGTAATATTTACTGGATTTAAGTATTAGTTTGGTATAGCAGACTGATCTTGAGTGAAGTGTGCATTTTGAATGTCAACCCTGTCTCCAAACTTTTTCTTGGCCTCCCCTCTCTCCTACCGGTGACGCAGGGAGGAGGGAGGGAGGGAGCCAGTGGGACCCTCTGTATGGAGCCACCGGTACTCCCATTTTATGACGTAAAGTGATGTCTGGTGCAAGGGCTGATGTTACTTATAGGCCTGTGTGTGTGTGTGTGTGTGTGTGTGTGTGTGTGTGTGTGTGTGTGTGTGTGTGTGTGTGTGTGTTCAACCACTGCAAAAAAAAAAAAACACCACACACCACCCCAGAGCTGATTCTTCTCTTTAGAAAACAAAGTGAAACTCTTAGAAAAAAGGTCTCCAATCAGTCATTTTCTTCATCCTGGTGCAAACATACAACCTCTTCTGGATAGCCTTGATTTATAAAGTTAATAAATTATGTCAAACTAAATAAATGAGTTGTTAGATGTGTAGATTGGATTCAGTATTGGAGTCATTACGCACAATGCAAACGCTTTTGCAGTTCATCCAACAAGCGCAGCGTTTGGACGGATGTTTACACGTATCTTCAAGTGCCACGAGAAATCCATTTATCCAACTGTGTGGAGCATCGAAAGTGTATAATAACGACTAAAGAGTTCAAACTTGCATTATTTAGGTTATAGATAGGAATTAGCTGATAACTGATCGACCTGAACGTGCGTGTGCGTGTGCGTGTGTTTGAGGTGTCGACCCGGCCCTCATCATCCGACGGGAAGCTGACCAGACAAGCGTCAAGAAAGAGGGGAGCAGCAGACAACAAGTTGGGCCCCTGAACACGGAACCTGAAACCAGCATACGACACACTCTGTTGTCTGCCTCCAAGAGATTCTGGAGCCACTGTCTGCCTTATCAGGACGTGATAACAGATGACAACAAACCTGCACACACACTCACTCCCACCCACGCTGCAGGCCAGGTTATCCTAAAGATGTGTCATGTGTGACACCCGGGTTTTAACCAATAAAAAAGTCCCATTTTATTGCCTTTAAGCTTTTATTTTTGCAGTTTTCTATGGACAGTTTTTTGTCCAATTCCAAGACAAGCTTTAAATCCCAATGAGGAAGACACCCCCATCACCTCCAGGTGTCCATTCTCTAGCAAAGGTAAACGATTAAGCAATTAAGCATACAATCAGTAATTTATAGGTCAGTGACAAAGGACAAATCATTTCTCTGGGCAGCAGTAAAATGGAGACGACTGTGCGTAATGACGCATGTGTTTCCCTCCGCACGGTTGGCACTAAACCTATTAATGCCTGTGGAGACGGTCACAGGAGACAGACAGTATTATCGTTTGTTTTATCTTCAGCGTTTAGCACAGCCACGGGGTAAATGGGTCCCCCTGTCTCCGACCCAGCGATGGTGTTTATAGTTTTAAAGACTATTTGTGCGCCTCACGAGCTGATGAATGGCCGTAAAATCTTTCTCAGGCGCAGTGAGAGTCAACACTGGCCCGGCTCTTGCTGTAATAATTGGCGAAATAAAGTAAACGCGGGTGGAGGTGGTGGGGGGAGAGAAGACACGGGAAAATGTTTTCATCATGATTGATTCGCATTGGCCTTGCGCGGTTTCAGTGTACGGTTCTCTGTTTTTCTATATATATCCATTAATTGCAAAAAGAAATAATTCAAAATTCAAACGATTTATCCTGCGGGATGATGAATCACCCACCGAATTACACGCGTCCTCAGTTCTACCGGATAGTAAACTATAGAGTCAACTGTAAATTGAACATGACAGGTCTGGCATGTGTTTCATATCCCTAATGCTTCGTCCTGCAGCAGCCCTGCGGTCCCCTTTGACCTGTCTTTCTGCAGCACATCTCCAACTCAGATAAAGCTGCAGATAAGGTTGCTTAAAAACTTCCGCTGCACGAATGTGTGGGTATTTTGAGGGTTGCATGTCGGGAGCCTCTCTCTCTCTCTCTCTCTCTCTCTCTCTCTCTCTCTGTGTGTGTGTGTGTGTGTGTGTGTGTGTGTGTGTGTGTGTGTGTGTGTGTGCGTGTGTGCGTGTCTGCGTGTGTGTGACCCAAATTAAATTTTTTTGTCTCTTGCATAAACGTGTATTCTGTGTCCTGGAGGCCTTTTGGTGCTTTAGATCCATTAACTGTTTAGTGAGACAACAGGCTCATTAGGATATAATCCGGTTAAGAATGACACAGTAAACATTTTACACTTTCTCCACAAAGAGGTTTCCTCCATTAGTCTGTTCAACATGTCAGTGCGTTGCAGTGGAGGACAGAGTAGGCTTATCTAAAATCTTCTGGCAATATCACAGTGCTTACATTCAAAACTTTGCATGTGTAAAAGTTTACAATTATAAGTTGGCGTTAGTTGTAACCACATAACTTATTATGACTGCTTTACCTCATAATTTATCATGTAACGTGTCTAATTGTGAATTGAAAAGTGCCTGAGAATGAACAGTACATGAATATATGTAGTGACTTTCAACCCCTGATACATTGTTGAGAAGCTTACATTAAAAAAACTACAAATAGTAACATGTTACTAGTATAAAATAACTATAAAATAAAAATGAAACATTAAACGCATTAGAAAAGAAACCTGAAATAACTCTAGTGAAATATATTCACAGATACATGAACACATCAATGCATATAATTTAGATACACACATGCAAACCTATAAATAAACACTATATGTTTTAGTATTTGACTGCTATATGTACATATATAAACAACAATGTAAAGAAATGTAAACACACAGACATACAAATATGTTAATACATATAATAATCCATCAGAATAAAGTGAAAAATCAAAACATTTTTACTTAAATAAATTAAATTTAAAGGAGGACACAATGAACTGGCCTCACCGGGAAGGCTCTAAAATAAGGAGCCCATTCCTGGTGCCTTAAATCTGAAATAGCTGGGACAGCCAAAAGTGCCTGTTTGAGGGTCTTACAACACACTCTGGTTCACACAGAGTTACAAGATCTGTGATGTTGAAATCTGTAAAAACTCTATACTTCATTGGAAACCACTCAGAGAGCAGAGATCTACTTTGTTGTTGCTGTTTGGATATATTAAGAGTCTGGCTGCTGCGTTCTCATGCGGGAATAAAATCTAGATAAGAGAAAAATACCACTGTCTCCTCACAATCTGTAGGAGTCATGAAGGCTACTTTGGAAAGTTTTAGAGGGCAGCTTTCCTCTCTGGTGGAGTTTAAAATGACATCAGAGCAATTTGTTATGTTTTCTAGACATTACGTTTTTCAGTCCTATGGAAACTTTTTTATATTTAAAGGAGACAAAAAGAGGAATCCCAACACAACACTGTTACACGATTACACTAACTAAAACAAAATCATATAGTGCAGCAAACATACAACACCAACAAAAGCAGAGTAATATAGGGCGAATGCAGTAATTCAACAAACTACATCAATGCAGTAGTTAATGTGAACTTGCGGATCAATGCTTCAGACTGAATATAATCTATATCCGAGAGACCAAATGGGAATGTTGAAATGCAGCAGTGATAAAAATGAAAATATAAACAGCCTATTCTAAAATAATTACATTTTGAAATTAAATTCATTTAAAAATAGGATTAATCTGCTGAATTGCTGTGACCTTTAATCTCTTTATGGTTTGACTGTACTGTGGCTAAAACATTAACTTATGAAATTACTAAGAGAAAGGGAAAAACATATTTACTTTGTACTCTGCTGAATTTAATTACCTGTCTTTTAATGCAGGCATGTATGGCTATACATTATGTTATTGACAGATGTTACTTGTTGATGTACCTTGTGGTAAATAGAATAAAAAAGTTGGTCACAAATAAAGAAATTGGAATAATCTCTTTGAATAAATTGACTGATGTGACAGATTTCTTCAGAGAATCTGCTAAATTACTGAAAAACCTGAATAATTCTGAGGAAATCGGTCAGTTTTTCATGCAGACTAATTAGCGTGAATTTAAAACTGTTAATTTAAACAATAAAAAAGTAGGTCCTACCTGTGACTAACTGTCATTCGAGCAGCTTCAGTTTAACCTACACCATAATGACAATAAAAATTACAAGTTAACATACCATAAATACTCACTGGACTTGGAATTACCTTCTAAATGAAACCTAAACCTTTAACCATTTCTCATTGAGGTAACATTATAACACCAGACACCACAGCTCTTGTGTGACCCAGCAGACATACATTGTAAAGTCATATCCCCAACTGTTTTTCCATCTTTCTTTTGAAGAGTTCATATCATAAGGTCAGGCCTTGGCTACTACATTCTCACGCTGTGTCTCTGGATGATCAGAAACTAGAGTGGCGATATCATGAACTGACTCCTATTTAGACATGACTGATGTGGTTCATAGCCGATGAGTTAAATCTGTGCCCTTGGCCCTCTCCACCACTCCCTTTTGAGTTACACCACCACCATGTGGCCATTGCATGAACACAGCCAAACTTCTTGGCTTAATCCATTGTCCATGTGCTTTCTTGATTATGAACATGGGGATTTTTATTATAAGAATGATCATGGTGGAGGTCCTGTTGTGGCAAAGATCATTCAGTGGTCAGCACACAGAATGATTTATTGCATGACAGAAGCATCCGCTGATTCAAAGTCAGGTTGTTGTAACTGGAAACTAACTGAACATGGCAGCGATGTCAAGTGCCATCTGTCCGTGCATCATTTGTCTTGTCTGTGATGGAGGGAGCAGCATCCCCTTCATCTATCCTCCATCCTCTGCCTCCTCCTGCCCGCCTCCCCACCCCTCACACACACTGCCCAGGTCATGTTCGCAGGCTTGGCAAGGCTTCACACAGTCTTCTGTTGAGTTCAAGGTGGTGTTAGGGCCCTCATGGGAACATAAGAGGATGATTTTTACTCTGTGCCTGCTTTAGTTTTGTCTACAGCTGATGTTTGAGGTCAGTGGTGGGATACTGCTGTATTGTAGCTCATGAGCTGATGAATGGATTTTAGGGGACAGATTGTACCCTGTTGACATATGCAAACTGGATATGAAACCAAGATGTTAAAGG